CATTACACACGGTGAGCAAATCGCATATTTTTGTATATCCTGCAAGTATGTCATGATCGCGTAATTGCCGTCAACAGCGTTTGACATAACATTTGTCAAGAACAAAAATATTACGAATGACCTGTTTCAGAAGACGAATATATATGGCCGAAGGTAAAGTATAGTACGTAATGCATGTTGTAAAGCAATTACGCACTCATGGAATTACGCACCCGCCGCTTCGCGACTGCGTGTGTAACTTTTGCATTCGTGCGTAATATGCTTCTTACAAGACATTCTACGTAATATTATTATTATCATTATTATTATAAGTGCGGAAAGTGATGTTTTTCCGCACGCGATCGCAGATAGCCGAACGACGCTCAGCGGCCAGCAATCGCGAGTGAAAAGTGGACTTTTCCGAACGCTAGTAAAAAAATAAAATACAGGGTGTTCTATCGAAAATAAACTAGTTTATGTAGTATTCCCAGGTTAACGATGCTTTTTTGCATTATCTGGTTCTGAATTCTGGATGCCAACAAAAATACCCCATATTTGCCTAGTTACACGTTTTTGTAACACCAATATTAACTGAGATACCTATTGAGTGAAATATAAACAATCACCCGTACAATTTTTTTTTTTAATTTTAATGAAAAATTTGGCTTCAACAGAAATGATGACCAGTTCTTCATGAGTTCTACCGATTATGTACAAAATTTGTGGACCTTGATATCGCCAGTTACTTTGAAGTATCCGTCAAACAATAATATGGTCATGATTGAACGACGAAATTCATGAAATTTCAAGAACCATCATGGAATTTTCCAGATGGTACATTTCTTCAAATATCTCTGCACGGACGCCCTTGATATTGTCAGAATCATATAATATTCGAAATGTCCAAATTGGGAAATGAAGGGTTATATCCCCGGAAGGAACTCTTATAGATGATCCATATGTTTACCTTAGTTATGAGTACAAGATTATCCTTCAGGGAATATAATTCCATAGTATGTCTTCAGTACAACGTCTTCAGAATGTCTTAGATACGATTCGGAAAGTGCCGTCGGTGGTATACATTGGCATCAGGACTTCAGATAGACATCCTGTATGAATGTCCTTTATACGATCAAATGTCCATTCCTTCTTTCAATGTCCTAGAAATAACACCCTACGGACGTCCCAGTCGGTACGTTCCATATGTCGTCCGTGCGAGGACCTCAACTTACACCTCGCTGACGATCGACTGCTCGTAGGCTTTTTGAACTCTCCGTCAATATCCTTTCCGAAAGTCTATTGAAGATCCTCAGGACCCTTCTTCGGGATATATTAGGTGCCTTCTACGAACCATCAACCCAACTGGATGTTCTCATCAGTTATGCAAGATCTCGTCTTAGGGAGACCCAAATAAATTCGTATTCAAGAATAATCCGTACGTTCCTGGGACATCCTTGACGTCCTTGAATAAGTATATCCTTTCATGTTGGAAAGTCGGGATGTTTGTAGGTACTTCCCACGGGCTTACTATGGGTGTCCGCGGTACCAAGAACGCATGTCCTACGGACGTCTCAAATGTCCCGGCAGGAAGTCCTATGGATATCCATGAGACTTCACTGTGCTATTAGGAAACTGCCGTCAGTTTGGAAGAGTGTCAGATTACATGTCTCCAAGGAAGTGACTTGTCTATAACACTTAAGATGCAGGAAAACTGTACTTTCTCTGCCTAGACAGGAAGAGTTTGTTGCTATGCAACTTTTCAAGTAATATGAATGAAATTGCCATTCAAAATTGAAACTGACATTGGGTGAATACAAAATGATGAAGTTTTCAATGAAAAATCACACAAAATGGTTTTCATAATATTTGAAGAAAAAGTTATATGTTTCTCCAAACGGCAGAGAAAGTGGCTTTTCTATGACGCCCAACAGGCAGCAAAGGTGTACTTTTTCTGCCTAGGCAGACGAAGTTTGTTGCTACGCAGCGTTCCAAGCTATTTGAAAGAAATTGGTAATCAAAATTGACACTGAAACAAGGTAAACACAAAATGATGGAGTTTTCAATAAAATATTACACAAAATTGGTTCTATAACATATGGAGAAAAAATTATATGTTCCACATGGCTGAACTTACTTTGCTGCCTATTAAAAAAAAATGTTCTCCAAAAGACATTGAAAGTGGCTTTTTCATGACACTTAACAGGCATGAAACTACTGTACTCTTTGCCTAAGCAGAAAGAGTTTGTTGCTTTGCAACGTTCCAAGTAATAACTTGAATCAAACTATTAGTCAAAATTGACGATGATATTAGGGGAAATCAAAATGATGGATTATTTAAACCCTGCGTGAAATTGGAACGAATTTTGTGAAAAAACTTATACGCCTTGGCTATGAAACTCTAGCCGCGGCATTATTGTATATTGTGCACTTCTGCCTAGTAAAACAAATAACCCCTATGTCGAATTCATTCTCGCACATATGAAGTCATCAATATCAGGTGATATACCTAAGCTTCTGGGAAATATATTGTCATACTTATACGATGGAAGTATTGGGACAATATTGCTTTCATAACTTATAAAATAATTCGAAAAATAATTATCAGAAAAAGTACATAATTTGAACGAATTCGATTTGAGCCAACTTGTCTTCACAAAATATTGCTGATGACACATTTCAAGAACAAGAAAGTTGAGCTATCAGAATATTTGTTGACGTCCACCCACTTCATTGATATTGCCCATTTACATGAATATCATTATTTTAGATGCCTCTTATATCAATATTCCTCATAATGAATCAAATGGGAATCATGTAGTGGTTGTCTAAGGTACGATTATCTCAAGAATTATTGAAATTCTCGGCTGATATTGAATGGTCGGTGAGCTGATTCTTCATCAGATGAAATATCAGCAACATAATTTCGTTCTGTAACGGTCTAAACATTTTAGTTTCATAAGAAGTTCTACTTTATACGAGTATGATATTTTTTGTATCTATATAATAATACTCCTGATCGCGATACTGTAGTCTATAGTCTATAGTAGAGTGTTATGTGGTAGATCGCAGGCCCTACACAAGATAAAAAGGATTTCTTGATTCAAGGCCGAACAGCATTGATTCAACCCTATCGCTCTTGAATATATCCAACAAAATGATTATTTGATTGTTTTACAGAACTCCATTGACTTTAATGAAAAAAAACTTGATTCGAATGGACATTTCTTCATTCTTTATATCCAACCAAATAATTATTTGATTGTTCTACAGAACTTCATTGACTTTCATAAAAAAAATCTTGATTCAAATAGACATTTCTTTATTATCACAGTACGTATTGGTCGAAGAAAGAATTAATTAGTCTGAAACAAGAAAATTCTTCTATTGTCAAGTTAATCCCACATCATATTTGAACAATTTTGATCTTGAATCAAAAACTTGCGAGCTTGTTACATATAGATGATATCTCATCATAATAATAAGTGAATATTGTTTCAGAAGATCTACATTTTCTTGTGCTATATAAGAGATTATCATTCAGAAGGAAATCAAGACACAGCTCACTATAAGAGTATATTGAGTATTGGATGAAATCAAATCTCACAGTTGGTGCACGAAAGGCTTCATCATCAAAACTTGGTCATTCTATTATAACATAACAAAAATTGCAACATGTATAATATAAATGAAAACATATTCATATAGTAAAACCATCAAATACTATGTGTAGCTTAATCTAGGAGGTGGAATATGCATCTTTCTAGATTGTTGTGATTTGATGTACTCGTCTTCTTCCCCAGAATGTCACTGTGCTTGAAATGGCTTGAATACTGAACCACGAATACCTAGAGAAAACAGTAAAATCATCGATTGAAAAATGTTTTGAGTGTTTTGCAGAGTGGCTTGTTAAATGGGAATCATTAACCGTATACCTATAGAACTTGCTTCAGGAGGAACAACATTTTCATTCATCACAGCCAGGAATTGTCGAAAACAAACAAGATTTCAAGAAAACCAGATATTTTCTGGTTACAAGAAATTCTGCGTTTGACAAAAGCGCATGTATAAAAGTTGTTTTAGGTATGTAAAAACACGAAGGAAGGAGACATATCATTATTGGTTCAGTCATTATAATTTAGAATCGAGTAGAAAATATACAAAGAATGAACAAAAACCTACCAAAACCAATTAGTGCGTTCATCGAATGAATGCGACTGGTCAAATTGTCACTGCTGGACGAATGTGTATTGTGTGCAAGTTATACAAACATGGCCATATGCGTTCACAGTGATGGGTAGTTATGGTTTCAAGTATGATTGATATCAAGGTTCTTGGTATATTTCCTATAAAATTAGAAGGAAAACACCTCACAAGGTACAACTATGTTACAAAAATATACAAAGTTCTTACCCTCGCAGATTGTCCTCAAATATGGAATGCTGCATTGCTGTGTATATGATACCACACCACTATTATCCATGACGCAGCACACTTGAATATTGAACACTTCACCATTGGAAAACGAAGGTGCTCTGTACCGTCTTCATAACAACAGCGGCAATGAAGAATGGCGGCTAACGAATGGGGAGTCGAATGGGCGTAGGCGTACCACTGTATATACGTCACTGCAAGTCTTTCAGACAAGCAGAGATTTTCTTGAACCACAATAAACTGGAATTCATGTCACTTGTAGTCGCGGATTTCTTGAGAAATAAACTAATTATGTTGAGCAAATTCATATCAAGCAATTTCACGAAACGGTTCAAGGAAGCCGATTTATTTGAGACAAGTTTATATTGCTCCATTCGGATGGAAAAATCTTGTACGAAGCAATTTGATTTCAAGAAAATGGATTTGAATAATCGAAGAAATCCTTTTAATCTGTGAATGAGTCTGAGCACCTGGTCTAAGCTGTACCATCATATCAAATGTGAAACAGTGATCTGTGTTCTTATGAAACAACGTCATCTTCGTCGAATATAAGCACTAAGTTGTTGTTATATCACATCGTGTAATCTAACCTATAGTAGCCATTGCAGCTCCCAACACCATCAGCAACAATCCCAAACTAAGAGCTTTGCATGCGTTCCACAGACACCTTCCATTCACCTTCCCTCTAACCACCTGGACATTCCATTGAGCTCCAGAAGCAGGATGAGCTCTACGAACTACTTCCGAGGCACCACCGCGAGCCCATCCACCACCAGAAATCGCACCCTGCTGCATCCTCTCAACTGAATCAGACAAAAAACGTATTCGTTAATTTATGAAGATTTCACTGGAGGAGAGAATCAGTTCGGGATCGAAACAAATGACGAATATCATATCTGGAATATCTATATGTTATTTTATATATATATATATATGAATAAAAACCCTTTCAACACTCAACAGCAAAAAACCTCTACATAAACATGTGACGCGCGTTAAGGGCGCGCATCACAGTGAAATAGTTCGCCCACAGACACCAGTGAAACTATAAATATATCACAGCCGTCTAGTGGCGCCATAATTATGGTTTCATGTATTATTTCTACAGAATCCTTTAGATACATTTAATTCAATCAATAGGGAACCTCATCAATAGATGTCTCTGAATAATATTTGTGGCTGTACTAAGGAAACAGGTACAAAGTCACCTACAGTGTTGCCAGTATTTAATCAGAGTACGTCGCCAAATTAGTAGTAGTAGAAATTCATAAGTGGAATGATAAATTTCACATTATTATATTTACCACCTATAGTATTCCCATCCTGTGATGACCTCACCATAGAATGAAAGTCATACGATAGTTTATATCTAACATATATTATTGATTCTCTGTCACAGTGTTTGTGGCCAAACTCCTCCGAAACGGCTTGACCGATTCTTATGAAAATTTTTGTGCATTTTTGGTAGGTCTGATAATCGATCGTAAACTATTTTTTAAATTGGAAACTCAAGATGGCGGATCCAATAAGGCGGACGAGTTTTCTAATTATGATCCGATTCTATTCAAAATCTCTGTATCGGGTGGTTTTCGGGATTGAAAATAATGATACTTTCGTCAGAATAAGGAAATTAAATATGGTGGATCCAATATGGCGGACGAGTTTTGTACTTGTGATCCGAATATTTTCAAAATTGGTATCTGGGGGTTTTCGGTATCGGAGAATATGATTCTTTTGTCAAAATCAGAAAAATAAAGATGACGGATCCAATATGGTAGAGTTTTGTAATTATAAAAAAATTCCAATAGCTACCTCCTATCCCTATCCTCTCTATAGGAACGCACGATGTTCTTTGAACATTTCTTTGAACATTATAGGGATTCCCTCTCGTGCGCTCCAAGCGATAAAAAAAAATAATCCTATTCTATTCAAAATTGGTATTTGGGGGTTTTCGGTATCGAAGTTTATGATTCTTTTGTCAACATTTAAAAAATAAAGATATCGGATCCAATATATGGCGGACGAGTTTGTTCATGATCCGATTATTTTCAAAATTGGTAGGTATCTGAGGGTTTTCGGTATCGGGGAATATGATTCTTTTGTCAAAATCAGAAAAATGAAGATGACGGATCCGCAATATGGTAGAGTTTCGTAATAATAACCCTATTCTATTCAAAATTGGTATTTGGGGCCTTTGGGGGTTCTCGGTATCGGAGTTTATGATTCTTTTGACAAAATTAGGAAATTGAAGATGGCGGATCCAATTTGCATATTGGATCCGGATCTATATAGGTTCCCGTTGAAAGGGATTTTCTCTTTTTATTTCAGAGTTCTGTGGCCAGAGAATGAAGAAGTTATACGTATCATTGTACCTTTATTGGTTCTTATAATCATTTGAACTTCCCGGAGATTTTGAAGTTTTTGTTGACATGTTTTCTCTGTGCGTTTGAAACATTTCAGACACATTCACCTGATGAAAATAGATTGGATGTTTATGATATATTATTATCAAAAATTTTTCCCATATGATGCCAACTTTACGAATGAAACTGTAGAGTGTAGAAACATAATATAAACGAAACACCTGCTAACGTCAAATGGATCTCGCTCTGTGCGGATGACTCAAATCTACTTGGATGGTAAAGCCACAAAGCCACTGAATTTGGACTCGCGATACTCATCTCTCTCCCAGAAGCCCAAGTCGTCTCAATAAGTCGCCTGTCGCCAAGTTCTATTTTTGGTCGCCAAAATAGGTTCAGAGATAGCCCAATTGTCGAGAAATCACCCATACTGGCAACACTGGTCACTTATCGATTTTTCTTTGAAGTCCAGTTGGAATCGTTCGGGGAATCACACACACTGCCTCATACCGCGACACCGCTCGCTCCTCGCTCCGCCAGTTGCAGTGCTGCCAGCGTTCTGCTATTTTATATAATAACACTGATGTTTTTGTATATATATCAGTAGGGGTCAATCGTTCATGTAGGTAACGGACTAACTCGACGTCGACCCGGGCCCCGGGCACAGGTCCTACGGTCACGTTAGCTGAGGGACCGAGCTGGTTACGTCAGAGACTTCTGGCCTTATGTTCACGTGGGTAACGGTCAATCCGTCTATAAATACAATTTTTATAGAACAAAACCTCGACCAAAACTGTTTTTGTTTTTTGAAATATCATATTTCGGTAAGTGTGAAAGTATTAAATAGAATTGTCACGAAAGAGATGAAAAAATCCGAAGAATTTTCCCTCATTTTCCTAGTAAAAATCAATTTAGTAATTTGTCCTTTGAACTAGGGACATTTCCTTAGACCTGGCATCACTGGTCACTGGTTGAAACTAAGTAGCACCAGATGTGACCTGATTTCTAATTCTTAGCAAATGAGAAAAAGAGGGAAGGATTTATTACTTGCTTCCATAAAAAATAATATTTTGAGTTTCATATGGGCCTCTATCACAAAAGACAATATTTTGTTTATGCCTACACTAATTTTTAATTATGAATATTACCTGTCATGAGTGGATTATGTATACTTACTTCAACACCAGTTTTTCAAATGGGAATTCAAGATAATCAAAACTATTTTCTATAAATTGGAAAAAAAGTGGTGGTTATACGCTACGATTGGGATATGGGATATAAGAATTTCTAAATTTTGACCAAATGATCATAATCTCCGACCCCGAAAACCCCCGAATACCAATTTTGAATAGAATTGGTCGATAATTACAAAACTCGTCCGCCATATTGAAACCGCCATCTTGAATTTCCCAATTTTGACGAAATATTCTGAATCTGTGACCCGAGAATCCCAGGTACCAATTTTGAATACAATTGGTCTATAATTTCGAAACTTGTCCGCCATATTGGATCCGCCATCTTGGATTTCCAAATTTTGAAGAAATAATTGTTATCTCCGACTCCGAAAACCCCCTAGATACCAATTTTGAACAGAATCGGATCATATTTGAACAACTCGTCTGCCATATTGTATCCGCCATTCTGAATCTCCTCATTTTGACGAAGACATCATAATATCCGACCCCGAAAACCCTCAGATGCCAATTTTGAATAGAATCGGATTACAAAACTCGTCCGTTATATTGGATATCCGCCATCTTGAATTTTCAATTTGAAAAATCGTTTACGACTGATTCTCAGACCTACCGAATATGCACAAAAATCTTCATAAGAATCGGCCAAGCCGTTCGGAGGAGTTTGGCGTCAAACACCGTGACAGGGACAGGAGAATTTTATATATTTGATTAATATTATGAATCAACAGAGTCAGTTATGCAATACACTCGATAGACTATAAAAAGAAAAAAAGCGCAATTATTTACAAAAAATCGCAATGACACAAAACGAAGTTGAAAAGCGCCTTATTGGCAACACTGTTCTCCAGACCCAGGAAGAAGAAATGAATTAAAAGAGAACTGTAATGTTTGTATTAGTTCTTGAAGGAGCGCAGCACGGTAGTTTCACTGTGTAGCCCTCTGAAAGACAATAGCTGAACTACTCTGCCACTGTCGGAACCTTGCTAACAATATGGCGATATTGAAAATAGATGCAGAAACGTCAGAATTAATTTTGCGCACAATACATTCCCAAACGACAATGTTCCAGAAGCTGATTATTTCATCAAAAATTTATTGAATTGCTAACTTAGGGTATGCCAGGTTTTTATTCGATTCTGTTACACAAACGTTGTCAATGTTATTGTTTTTCATTACCATATATTTTTTTACACAAATCGAATTTCGCTAGAAAATTCCTTCATATCCTATTCTCAACCTTCGTCTTTAATATGTACCAACCACTTTTGCGCTTACACTTATAGTTTATTAATGATTTGGTACCAAACTGACCTCTGCATGGCAGTTTTGACTAATGCGCCCTCTTAATACAAGATGATATTTACCATCAATAACTGGTTTCGAGGCTCATTCTCAGGTTACAATTATTATACTTGTAGTTACCCTGTAGGTTCGGTACAAATGTTAGAAGGAAACGAGTTTAGCATATATCTGTTTCGCGCCCGCTCGACATTCCGCAATCTCAGTGTTTTATTGTACGCTTCTGTAAGGCTGTGAGAAGTGTACATCTCTTGGAAACCAGATCCACAGTCACACTAAGTAGATATGTGATCCATTCTCAAGTTTCGATTCTCGATCACTTTTTCAAATATAATGACCGGATTTTGACCAATAACACGAATAATGTTTGCATCCAATTTCTGAATCAATGCTGGCTCATTTGCGTTGACGTACACTGGTTCGATACGTTGAGTAAATTGCTCATCGAATCCTTTCGGACACGCCAAGCTAGAGCATTCGACGAACAACGACGGATTGTCGATTGTTCATTGTCTTTTACATGGGCTCCGTCTCTTCGCTACGTATGCTGGCCGTGGTCTATCGTATACCTCTAATTTCCGTAATTTACAATTTGGAGTTGCTGTTTCCATGTGAGCCATTCCTTGATGCAATTCATAATGCAAACTGAAGTGAGATCTGCACACAAATGACGCCTGATTGCTAATTATTAATATTTGAGTATGAGTACCTCACGATGGATCGCCAATATAACATTGCAGGTGGTAAAATATGTCCGAATAGAGTAACATCATTGCGAGATGATATATGTATGACATAAGTCGTATATATGGTACCCCACCTTGTGTTATGTTCTATAAGTTTCTTGATGATAAAATTATGAAATGAGTGGTTTTGAGTTTCTTCTATGATGGTAATTTTTATAGTACTAGGTACTCATAGATAGTTCAATAAAGTAACCCCTGACAAGTTCACTGAACCAATCTCAAGCCATAGGTCCATAACATATGAGGGGCATGTAACATTCCTTCATCATTTGTCATTATCAAATCAAGAAATATTTGCAAATATATTTTCATCCGAAACCTGTACATACAATATGACATTCGCCAAGAATGTAGATGAAACTTCAATGAAACCAATGATATCTCAGTAGTTATGAAGTTAAGTACACATACGAGTAGAAGACGCTATTCAACTCGTTTGGAAGTTTCGTTTTTATGATTATGATGAATGAACAGCTGGTACTGGTAATGATAAAAGTGGTAGACGTTCGCACCAATGTGTTCAATGAGTGATGTGGTTTGCTTAAGAGAGCTGGCTAACACCCTTTTCAGGTACCGTCCATCAGCTCTTCGGTTTTTCGGTTGTGTTTTGCAGGCTAGTGATTTACTCACTACCATATGCTGCTGTGGCAGGCCTGCCAGCTACCTCGTTAGCCACCATTAGAGGAGTCCCACCAAGCAGCATTGACCAGCTACCTCGTTAACCCCCGTTAGAATCATCATTTCTTTTGGTGTGTTCTGTGTAGGCTTTGGTACTACCTCCATGTTCCATTTCAGGAGCAACACTGTTAATTGGAACGCAACATTGAATAATGCAGGAATATCCCCAGGATAGATTGCTACTATAGGTATCCCATATTGTATGATACCCTCTGTGTTTCCAAATTGCCCACTCTTGAGATAAATTTATTTCAATCAGCCACTCAAAAAATATACTTACCAAACAAGTACTGGAATGCGTTCGTTCATGTTGCTCAGTTCATGTCTTGCTGCGAGTAATCTATTCCAGAATCTGCGAATGAAATATATAATGATACATCATTTGATTTTTGATATTGACTTATATATAGGAATATTATTAAACTGAGTTATTTCAGATTAAGTATCCGAACGTATTTTTTCGACAGTCACTAGCTTCGTATCTCTACTATCGATTTGAGCATCTGATGATGACAGTATTCAGGGTATAAATAATGGTGATTCATCAAGAACTTACATGGGTCAAGCCTAGACAAAACCTGAGATAATTCGTTTACATCTCGACGGGGAAAAATCATTGAATGAATTTCTTGTCTGTGCCGTCAGTTTGACCGCTATATGATGTGTTTGGACTCTGACGACGAGGGGAACCTCGCAGTGAATTCAGTATAATTTAAATAAATAATTTCGAAAAATATATCACATAATATTCCATGAAATAATATTTCAAATCTTCTATACAAAAAACAATACAAGAGCACAGAGTGTTGATATTAAGTACTGACCGAAGATATCTCTCAAATGGACACAACAAAAATATAATCTCCAACTGACGAATACTAACCAAACATAGTTGAAATTAACTAGAACTGAGATTTTTCCTTCAAGAATTTGCTAAGAGGTCGATATCAACCCTGTGTCAATTTTCCGTTACATTGGACATCCCAGAATCCTTTTTATTATTATTATTATTATTGGAGCGCACAAAGGAAAATCCCCATAATGTTCGAAGAACAATAAGAACATCGTGCGTACATAGGGAGGATAGGAAATGAAGATATAGGTATTGGATTTTTCAAGTTCTTTGGGATACTTCCTTTGGCAGAGAATTCCAGAGATTTGCCGTTCTATACACAATCGAATTCTGGAAAAGTATTTTTCGACATGTTTCGAGGTTGACAACAAAAGTATCAGCTAAATGGCTGGTCGAGTTCGTCGAATTGGTATTGCTAGTGATGGAATTATAGAAGAGACATCTGAAGAACATTGCCCGTGGAAGTATTTATGGAAAAATAGAAGGTGACCTACTTTTCTACGGTGTCCTAATAATGTCAAAGTGTTAGTGACTGTGGCATCATCCTCAAGGCGAATGGCTCTTCTCTTAATGGAATCTAAGAGCATTATCGTATGGGTGCTGATCCTCATGTGTAGAAACAGTATTCTACAACAGACCGTATCTGTGCTTTGTAGATCATGAGGAGTTGTTGAGATGTAATAGATATTCACGTAACCAGTTAGGAAACGCATCGTTTCGTGTAACGATGGGATTTTGCGGGACGAGCGAAACAAGATCCTGCAAAACAGAGACCGTGACATCACCCACCAGGCGAATGACTCTACTCGGGATGAAATCTAAGAGCATTAGCGTATGTTTGGGTGCTGAACCCCATATGTGGAAACAGTATTATAGAACAAGCCGTATCTTCTCGATTGTAGATCATGAGAAGCTACTGGGGTGTAATAGATATAAATCGCGTCATTTTGTTCACTAATTTACACAAAATGCGTTTCCCTACTAATTACGTACCTTTTTTTTCTGATTTCCTACATGAGTTCTACCGATTATGTGTAAAATTTTGTATTCAAGTTGACTTTGTCCGTCACTTTGTAGTATTCGTCAAACAATAATATGCTCGAGAATTAGTGACGGAATTTACGAAACAGGCTCGTTCGATATCTTTATTAGTGGAAAAAAGCTGCTTCAAGTACAGATTCCTCGATTGATATTGAGGAAGCAGCACAAAGTGCACCATTCTCTTCGTCCATCCGTATGTTTATCACGTACCTGCGGTGTTAAAATGAACATTGTATGACATGATTATCCCATGAAAGAGTATTGTTGATGGAATTACCGAGCATATATATAGTGGACTTGGTTAGAATGGTGGTACCAGACATTGTTATATCAGGCATACTGAGTCTTGCCTTTCCAGAGAATATACGAGCATTGAATTCTGGTGTCAACTAGGCTGTTGGTTTTCCAGGCTGTAATTTCATCGAGATCCTCATTTCTTAGTTTCCTGGGAAGAAATGAGAATTCTGGAAGAGAACGCAGTATGGAGAGAACCATCATATGCAAAGCTGTGGATAGAAAGGTATATTCCAGTTTGAAGTGAACAGACTGTAACAAGAAAGAAAGGGAAAGGGTTGAAAGTGATGGACCTCGAACGTGACTAAGAGAAAGATCTTGACACATTAGGGATGAAGGCGACGCTTCAGTTTCAGCTCAAAGCGCACAAAATCCTGAGACGTTCACCTTCGAGCAACCAGCCTCAGCAGAATCGATGTTGGCTGGAATCTTGGAACAGATAACGGCTCAGAGATATGATATTGCCGCCCAACGACAGTATATTACGGCCCAGCAACAGGATATTGCGGACCAGTTGGTGGCTTAGCAGAAGAGGATTGCGGATCAGATGCGGGCCAAGCAAGAGAAGATGTCCGCTCAGCAAGGAAAGAATGCGGACCAGATGGTAGCTCACTAGATAAGATCGCAGATCAGATGACAGCTGATCGGCAGGATATTGCAGACCAAATGCGGGATCAGCGAAAGAAGATGTCGGCTCAGCAAGGCAAGCACGCGGAATGCCTCGACATGTTATATGGTCATAAATAACGAACTCTTGTAAGAATTCGGAATGGATGTAGCCCGATTAGTCCACTGTCCCTATCCGTCAGCCCCCGAATCACTAATAAAATGCTCGGTTGTTCGTAGATAGATTGAGTGATATTGAAATGCAAAAATCAGTTCGCCCTCACTTGACCCAAAGACCTTACCAGTGCTCTGGGAGCTGCGCTTGAGAACGAGGCAGCGGCAGAAGCTTCACGAGGATCAGCGAAAGTCCGAACCTCGAATGACAGCGAGAACACTGCTGACAACCACAGGCAATATTCGAATGGGGCCTTGATTAGCGCCATCAAGTGCTTCTTGGATGATGAGAGGAGACCAGTTCGCTGATGAAATTGTGGGGAGTCTTCAAAGAACTTGTAAACGTGCCAAACAGGTTGCTGAGGAGGGACCATCTTTCACGCAGCCACAGGAGAACTAGACTAGGTCGACCTCAAGACCTCAAGCGGACAGCATTGATACGTCATTCTCAGGCTCTCTCATCTTTGTGGAATCCTTACGTTGTGATAACAACAGCATCTACATAGATGGACAGATCGACGGAAAGAAATGCGCATTATTCGTGAATACTGGTGCATCGAAGACGATCCTGTGACGTGGACTGCTGACGTCTCCACGACAGCAACTCATCAACTCAAGATGGCGTCTAAAATTCGCTACGGGTGAAGCTCTCACCGTTCATGAGAAAATCGATGTGGATACGGAGCGAGACCATCGTAGCAGCTTGAATTGAGGGTACATTGGAGCAAGGCAGTCCGATCATCATGGAACCCTGAAACCATGACGAGGAGGTCGACGAGGAATCTTAGTCGGCGAGACGATACTAGCAGCAGACCACCATGTACCTGTTTGACTCATCAACATGAATAATTACCCAGTCACGATATGATAGGTTGAAATCTCTGTCGTGGCAACCTCCATAATTCACCAGGCGACAGCAACCACTGAAGACGCCGGCCACTATGAAAACTCCTCTTTGCTGTAGGCGACTCACCCAATAACCGACGAAAGGAAAAGTTCACCGGTTTACTACAACGGTAATTACTCTTCTTGGTATTGTCCGATATTGATTCGCTAAAACATTTACTGCTGATTTCTGTAGTGGAAGTAGACCCAAAACGAGACATTTCAATTTTCCTGTGACGGATATGAAATCAAAAGGAAGAAGGAAACTCAAAGTCATCTCCACTACTTGAAATGTCAAACTTAGTAGTATCGAACTTTGACAATCATAGCAATCTTATGCTTTCGAACGGGAAAGCCGCTCATATTATGTTTGTTCACATAAATAGTCGCTGATATCGCATATCATGTGACTTCAATCATGTAATTTCATAGGTGCAGCCAGGTGTGGATGAAATAATCGTAGGTAATATCTAGAGACCATGACAAATAGCGGGCTTCTATTTTTCTCATAATTCCATCAAGAGTACCTTGTATTTTGATAATTTGATGAGACCACATAAACAATAATAATCTGAGTTTGTCATATGTTATACCACAAGTGATACTATTCTGCCGAAAACATTTGGCTATTCTAACGACAGCTTGTTGCCTGATAATTTCGCAAATGACATTGCTAATCAAAACTTTCGAGCGGTAGGCGAGAAGTTTCGAAACAATGCCTAGGCCACAATAAAGCAGCAAGCTGGAGTATGTCAATCGACAGATATTGCCAGGAAAAATAGTATCACGAATTTTATTGTATTCGTATGACTATTTCATGACAGAGACAATAAACAAGCGCCTCGCGAGAGTGGCGCACACTGCAACCATCAATCTGGCTTTCAGTTTTTTTGTCGGATAAATGTCTCTTGCTAACGAAAAACATTTGACGATCAGTCATTTCACGAGTAAAACTGCATAACATGAAAAAATGGGTCGAGCAATTTTGTCTAATGTCAGTTTTTCGAGACAAATTACTGCTGGCAAATTTTTGAGTTGGTTAGGAAATCTATCCAATTGAAAAAAGTTCGAGTGATTTTTGGCAAGATAAATCAACGACAATATACAAATGAACAAAAATGATAATTAGCTTCATTGATGATTTGATGTTTCGTGTAGTATGCTTAATTGATTTTAGTATATTTCCAGTGGTTTCTACAGACGATATTCTCCTGAATCGGCTCATCTTGGCTAATTAAGCGCATGAACAATAACCAACAATTAAAAAAGAACACGACAAAATTGGAGTGACATCAGGTGCATACCTACTTGATGAAAGAAACAGGTAGTTTTACAGCGATAAAAAAGATGCATTCCTTTTCAATCGATGTCAAAACGACTAACGTCATCGTCAAGTAGCGTTTTCTGTGGAGAAGTTCATTTATCGATGAAAAACGAGGTTGGTTGGTCACGTGTGGGTCAATTCGATTCTGTGTTGGTAAAGCAAGTCCGATAAAATTGAGAGAACAAGAGTGGAATAGTCAACAGAAAACAACTAAGGACTTTCCTGGCTATATGCCACGATCACAGCCACGATGAACATAGCATTACCTACATCAAATTCTCTAAGTGTGTCATGGCATTGCGATTGACATAAGTGGTGAAATATGATCATTTGAGTAGGTATACTGTTAATAACAGGATGATAGAATGTTTCTAGATTTCAATGTGAAATCTCAACAATACGGTCCCAACAATACGTCCTTAAAATATCTACATTGAATTTTGAAACACTGTGTATTCCTCAATTCTACCATTCTTAAATATGTGCTTGCTCCTACAATATTATGGAATTTCCTTTCGGATGAATGAGTTTTATCGATCATAATGGTGTATCATCCTGTAGATGTATATTCGTGATCACGTTTTGGTTACAATTTCGAGAAGAAAATATGTCATCCATTCTCAAATAGATCATGAATAATATATTCAAGTTGATCAATTCATATCATTGTGCTTGGTGTCCCTAGAATTATACCCATAGAATTGGTATCCATATCACTTTCGCGAGTTAGGTACTTTGTTTACAGAAAATATATAACAATTTATACGACCACTCATTTCTGGGGAATCCACTCATGATTTCATGTTTTCTGTTCTTTATTTATTCATCGTTATTGACCTTTAAACTAGGACTCTTGAATTCTTCACAAAGTTATACTATAAATCACAGCAAAAGTGGATGATACGATTCATCTAAATAATGAGATTTCATCATGAACATTATAGATATTATGCTATTCATGTGGTGTGTATTCCGAACTGTCTTTTTGATTTTCAGTACAATACTCACCAGAATCTTGATCCTGTACTCTCGAAATATTTCAATTCATAATTCACCTGCCACACCACTTGCAAACACTTTCTTATCGGCAGTATAACATCTACTATTGAATAAATGCATGCAAAAGTTGCAAAACATATACAATTCAATCTAGAGGGCATTCATCCAGCATCCCTAGAAACTAAACTGACCATGTTGCCAGATCGCAGGGGAGAATATCCTGATATCCCAGTCAACCTGCGAAGTAACAGTAAGTCGCAAGGAACACCTAATAATATCTCACCGAAGATCGTCTTGGAGACCAATCAAAGATGTACTCATAATTTTGCTTCTGTGGATCTGAATATTCACAAATTATTAGACTTGCGAGCTCCCCAACTCAACATCCTTGAAAAAGTAATTCAATATGATATCGAGAAGTTTATATGAAGTTTACATTAGTATTACTATATGTCACTAATCTCTGGTCATATCTTTCAGATATCGAATTTGTGAGATCATTAGAACTTGGAATAACGTAGCTTGGCTAGACCTCTATAAACTATATCCAAGTAACTTCTTGAAGAAGACCTCTTCTGCGATATCCTATTTGATGACACGTCCCAACTACCCAATGATTAACTTCTCGCCTGCAATTTTCAATTTCAATTTTCACTGTAGGTATACCTAATATTATTCATTGATGGGTTATAGATACACCTACTTCTGATTTTCAGAACTTCTGAAAATAATGATGAAATTGATCATAATAATAATTACATATTATTATCATCAATAAAATGGAGATATGCATGCATAATACGGATGATAATCTGTGATATTTTTTTTTCTTTTCACATTATTCTCGTTTCAAATATTTATACACAACGTGAAGTTTTGGTTGAATCAAATGTGCGCAAACAAGGCCAAGACATTTCAAATTCAGAATCCGGTTTCGTTCTGGTGAGGTGATTCCGTTATACTTACAATCGATTCAAATAGAACAAATAGGACGACAATTAATTTTCGTGAAAATTCAAGTTCAATACCATATGTACATCGATTCTCTACATGAAAATATCATAATCTTCCTCATGTAGGATACGTTATCCTAATAATAACAATACTAGCCCTAAATCAAAAATAAATTGCATTATCTATTTCATCCATTTGACAGTAGTAAATGTGTCACTGTGAAATTAATCGGAAGATAGTGCTGCTTACATATAGAATTATGATTTGAACAATAAAGTGAAACTCCGGCGTGTTACCGCTGATATATTATTTTGTACACATTATGAACATTATTAGACCATCTACATCATCTCATCTCAATAAATAATAAACAAACATTCACAAAGGAATCAAACATCAGGCAATCAATATGAAAATATAATTTCATCAACAAATCAACATTCAACGGAATGACACATTGTGATACAAATGATACTTCCTGGATCCAATCACCATAGAACTTCAATCGAAATTTGAATCCAATCGCAACAGTGTTTTATGAATTTTCCAGTAGATGCCACAGTCAGAAATTGCGGGTTTGCTTTGTATGATAACTAAAATAAATCTACAATGTGATTTCCTGACAACTCATTGACGATGTATGAAATTAAGCAATCGTCAATAAGTACTGGTGCACCTTTTTTGAATCAACAATGCGAAGTCGCAATTTCACAATGATAATTACCTCCAATTTTCCTGCCACCAACATTGGCTAACTGGGATTATGTAATGTTCAACCATCTATACTGACTGTCTTATGTTACACATATATATTATACATTTTGAAAATGGCATCAATGATTGTCCATTGTTTATACCTTTAGTAATCCAAAATTAGGTATTGTTCAAAAAAACTAGTAGGTAGGCATATAATTCCAACCTTTTTTTCAATTCCATCTTGTGTGATGGATTAGTTCTTGAGGAAAAGTATACGCAACATGAGGCTACTGCCTGCATACTAGCCTCATGTTCCATATCTATACTTGTCGAGATACTAGTGGACTGATCTAATACCTATAGTCATAGTAGTTATTGGGCAGTTTTGGATTAGTATTTTCAGAGATATTCTTATGTTGATGAAATTAGTGTTTGATGAAAAATGACATCAAAACATCAACGACGAGGTCAACGAGCATATTTATCACTTATACGAAAACAGATGTCGAACTAAATAAACAGGAAACCGGTAGTAGAACGTCTATGATGATGCATACACCAATTGAAAAAAGTTTGTCACAATAATGTAGAATCAACTTGAAAATTTTGCAGTGTCAAACTCTGGAGGAGATGAACTATCAAGCGTTCAGTTTCCTGACATGAAACACGATTATTACACGTGATATATCAAATTCTCAACGTTCTTCAACGCGGATTCAAGGTTAGCAAACTTGGATCATTCAATGTTTCAATAGTATTGATATACCTCCTGTTTGAACAAAAAGCAGCATTATGAGGGGCTCTTACCTCCTAAAGAAATGTCATGCGGCAGCTTTCAGAAAGAACTCATTGTATCGGTGGTAACGACAAAGCACACTCTAGGATGATAAGTGAATTACCGACAAAGTTCAAAGCTGACTTCTCACATTCGTAGATAGCGTGGAAAAATATGTATTCTGGTCCAATGGACAAAGTTTTGGTTTCCTGAGTTCCAAAAATAATGTTGTTGTAGGCACCAAAGCCTTCCAGGGATTCATTGAAGAAACCCATTTATTAGCTGGAGTATTGTTGCAGGTTTCAGTCTCCAGTCATCGGCTTCAACTACATCCGAAGTTTTCGAACCATTCCATCGATTCACTTCCTCACTCTCGTCCCTTCGGGAATGGGACTAACTTCAGAAGACTTTCCTTTGTATATCTGTGTAGCCAATATCAGGTCTTCCAAAAGGTTGGTCATTTTCTTCCAGTCGCTCCTCTTCAATTCAATTCCCAAATGAAAGAAACCTTTAAGTAACCATTCTGGCATTCCTCTCCAGGACTATTTTTAAATGAATAAGGTCCAAGAAGTCTTTCAGCACTGCCTCTATTGTGGAGAATATCACCAGTAATGCTGTGTGCTGAAAAACTGCAAGTTTCACCGTACCCAGATAGCACTTGCATTGTGCTTCATATATAGTTCATAGAACGTTCATAGGTTATTCTCCGATAATATTCAAATATTCTCACTCTGATGAACATATCCGATAGACATTCTATGAAAATTCGGAACGAACTGTTTTGAATATTCTGATAATATTCCTGGTAAATCATAGGATATGGAAGGAAGTTTGAAAAAAGCTTCTTCCGATGGAGATGCGAATCTACTCTCTTGTTATTAAATGTTCACGAACCTCGAAAATATTCATTAAATGATCCCCCATGCAGTGTGGAGCTGGCTGGTGTTAACCAGGAGGGTTTTTGTCCATGTTTAGAGTCCTGGCAAATGAGTTCTGATTCCTGGAGCAGAGTCCCTTATAGCAGATGTTTACAGAGATGACCCAGATGGGTAGGGTTTACGTACCTGACACCTTCTCCACTGCGTTATGATCCCGATGATTGATGAATGATACGAATACCAAGATGTCAACAGTTAATCAGTACGATAATCAGCATTGGGGCTAGAGGTCCTACTATAGGCAGTGCTGGTTTCACCAGGGGTCTATTGGGTCCTAAAGCACCAGGCAGCATCTTTAGGGCGGCACTCGAAGCGCGTGCCCCACAAATAACGATTCATTTTTGAGACACAAATCAAAAAGTTACGGTTATTCAACAAAATCCTCCCGAAGATGATTATTTGTTTATGAACGGGCTTTTTCAAATTTGAAGAGGGTAAAAAGTGGTAAAGACCTACTTGAGAATTTCCCTAGCCCAAGAGAAATTAGATCCTTTCAGATGAAATCAATATAAAAAGTATCATACATAAATTTTCTTCGAAAATAGCAAGGAAATTAACGAATTCTTGAATAGTCACTTTGCTGAATAATCAATTATATTTTTTCACTTCATTCCACAAAATCCTGTTTTCATGATATAATCTCTATTTTGATCTAACTTTCATTAAAAAAAATGTGTTATGATGAAGCAATTCAAACAACCTTAGAGCTTAGGAATATGTTTGAGTCTGAAGAGAGGCGCCATCATATCACCAAGCGAAATATTACCTAAAACCGACAATGGCCGAGGTATACACAAACAGTCCCTGATATGTTGAGTCAGGCGAAACATTATGAATATCCATGCAAAAATAACATCAATATCATATTTTGTACGATAATGTGAAAATATTCTGACAATATGTCAAAAATCTAATGTACATAGAATATTTGTTGCAGGATGAAAATATTCTATGATAATTCTGACAACATCCTCAATCACAATTAATATTCTGAAATCAGTTTATTTGAACGTTGTTGTTGTATTGTCTGGGTAGCTGTCGACTGCAATCGTTTTGTTCACTAAGCTACCGAGCCATAGGACCAATGGTTTCATCATTATTTGGCATACCATTCTGAGATTCCATAAAAAGAATCTGACTCAGGGTATGGTTTTCTCAAAGTGGGCGTTTCGGAGTAGTCTTTTATAAAGAGTGACATCCCGATAATTCATCTTCACCGCAAACAGAATCTCTCTCCGTTCATAGCTTTTGTGTTATGGTGAATGGGATAATCACGGTTTTCCGAGGAGTCACCCTCTCTCACCATCAAGGCGCAGTATCAAGTGCTTCAGTTTTCCCTTTAGCTATTGTACCTGAATTTTCTCGTAACAATGGAAGTATACCCCTGGAAAACCTTGTAGACCGCTTTGAATCTGACTGACTGCAGTGTTGATATGGCGAACCTATTTCCACCATGATGGTTTTGACAGTTGCACATTGGACAGCTGATACCTCAAATTTTCCATTGACGTAAAAAGTGACTGGGGAGACATTATTAAAAGCGAAATTTACTTGTGATATGAAGTGAATATTATTGATGAAGATTGAAAAATATCCATTCAAATTCCTTCCTGTAATATGTCTGACTTGAAATATTTGTAGACTAGTTCCACCTGAATTCTAGGTTAATTAGCTACATGAGTTCATAATCACTGTTTTACTGGAATACAGTGTATTGTTGACTGTGGATACGATCCTGGATTGGAGTTTTAACACACCTTCTCGGTATGGTTACGTGTTGATTTGATATCATACAGTAGGT